TTTTTGGTTTTTCTCCGGTACCGGGAACCGAACTCACGACCTTGCGCTTGCCAGGCAGGCGCTTTGCCGCTGAGCTAAATCCCCAGCCCCAATACTCCCATTTTATAGCTAAGGAAATTATAGTTCAAAGAGGTAAAGAAACGACCCTTAGCTCCAGAGCAACTTGTGGGATAGGCTGAGGCCTCTGTCACAACTGTTTTATAGTTTAGCTCTCTCTGTACTCTGTCCTGTACCTCCTGCATTCTAACTCAGAGATGATGATCCTGAGACCTCTCTCCAATAAACTGCCTCCCTAACTACACACACACACACACACACACACACACACACACACACACACACACACACACATTAAGTAGCTCATGTAAGAACCTCTCAACTCAGTAGAATGACAGAACTAGAATTAGGACCCTGTGAAGAAAAGGCCCTGTACTTGATCTGCTTTGCTTTGTACTTGGTCTGCTTTGTCTTGATCTGCTTTTGCAGCAGAAGGTTGCTTTCCTTCTGTTTTTAAAATCATTTATACCTTAACTTGTTCCAAAAAATAATGAAGTTACTACAGAGGAGGGTAAAAGGCTATCCAGTTATACTGCCATGTGAGGAGACTCAAATCCTTTGCATTATGCTAGGTTTTTTTTCAAAAGAGCTATGGAAACAAGTATTCCTGTTTATCAGCAGAAGAGTATAATAGTCTCCCTTTAACTACTGGGGATAAACTCTAGCACCTGCAGTGGATGCTTAAAACCATGGATAGAGCTGAGTCCTCTATATGTTGTTTTTTTTCCTATACATCCATATTTGTGATAAAGTTCACTTTGTAAATTAGGCATAGTGAGAGATTAATAATCATAAAAGAAAATTATAGCAATGTATATTAAACATTGTGTGAATATGATTTCTCTCCCTCGCTCTCCCTTGTTCTCAGAGTATCTTATTGTACTGTGCATTACTCACCCTTCTTGTGATAAAGTGATAGGATACAGTGCCTACATGATGAGTTGAAGTGAGATGAGTGACATGGGCATTGTGATGTACATTAGGTCACTGCATGAGTTAGCTGAACAGAAGCACCACAGTACCCTCAACAGTTAATCTGATAACTAAGACAGGTACAAAGTGACTAACAGACGGGTTGCATATACATTGTGGATATGCTATACAAAGGGGTGGTTTACACCCTGGATAGTATGAAGCTGGCAGGCATGAGATTTCATAACACTGCTCAGAATGGCATCAATTTTAAAGTACAATAATTGTTTCTTTCTGGAATTTTCTAATTAATATTTTTGGACCACAATTAACCACAGATAACTGAAACTTTGGAAAATGAAATGACAAATAAGAGGGTGCTACTATAGTAGTGCATATCCACAATAGACAAATATGTAAGACATAAAATAGGGTAGTAGTTGTTTAGGACTGGAGAGGAATTTTGGGGTGATAACTAAAGGGTATAGTCTTCCTTTTTGAGGTCCTAAAGTTCTAAAGTTGATCATTGTGACGGTTAAAGAAGCCTGTGTATATATTAAAAATCATTAAATTATATATTTAAAAACTAAAAAAGGAATGCTACTACAGACCAGGTAGCTACTTCAGATCATAAAAATATAAGAGGAGTCTTAACAAAATCTCTGAGGGCATGGCAGCTGCTCCAAGGCCTAAGGAAGTGTCTGATTTCACTCAGGAGTGTGTGTGTGTGTGTGTGTGTGTGTGTGTGTGTGTGTGTGTCCCCTCAGAGTATTCCAGACCTCAGGGTATGATTGAGAAATGAGTGTGCTATGGATATGTGAGAGACAAAGTAATAGACAACCAGGAGTGTGAGGTGTCTAACATTTAAATCATGCTTTGTCATTTGAATCCTTTTAAACACTGTTTTGTAAGCATTAAGTCTTCTGCTTTCTAGATGATGTTGATACTGACTGCTTTTCTTTGTAAGTCAGACCTATTGTAGTTGTTGGTATCTTTAGCCCATTTATATAGCCCAGAAAACCATTTGGTCTCTTGGTAGTGGAAATTTGAAGCCAGTTGACTTTCAGACAACGCTACTTTCTCTTACTTATGAGTTTACTGTGTGTTCATATAGAGCTTTCATAGGTGTCTTGAGTATATGGAAGAGTAGAGTAGAACATTAGATCAGTATGCTGTAATAGTAAGAACGCAGGCTTTGGAATGGGTCTAAATATTTGCTTCATCTATGTAGAAAAGGGAAGATCACACACCTCATTTCTCCATCTGCAAATTGGGGATTCTGATACTTATTTCAGAGTATATGTGTGGATTAAATGAGACACAGTCTATTCAAAACACAGCACAGTGCCTGACAGATAATGGGGTCCAAATAAGTGTAGTTTTTCCCCTTTCCCTAAGGGAGGGAGACATTCATGCATTCTGCATTCTGTATTTTTATTCATTTCTAGTAAATTTATTGAGTATAACTAGTAAATGTATTGAATATATTCTAGTAAATGTATTGGATATATGTGCTAAGTTATGTGTTTGTGTTTGGGAGTGCAGAAATGGTTGTGCAAAAATGAAAAAGAAGTTACCCTATTTTTTAGAGGACAGTATTTGAGTTCTTTTTACTCTAAGAATATTTATCAGGTTTGGCATTTTGAATATTCTTCACCTAACCAAATGCTATAATAACAATATTTACAGTATTATTTGTATAATATGTTTGGTTTATACAATATTTTTACATTCACAATTTTAGTGACACTTAGTTTACAATTCATACTCCATATCCTTAAAAATACTACTTGGGCTTCTGAGCAGAGCCATGGTAATAAAAATCCTCTTCTTGCCCTATATCTCATCTGCATCGAATATATCTTATTTGTATCTTAAAGATACTTTGCCTGATTAGCAAAACTGGCAGAGTAGGGAACTCAAGAAGCCCATCTCTTTTGGCAAAAGCAACTTTAATGGAACTCTGGAAACTTGTAATCAAAAGTTTGTATCAAATAAATACTTTTTTTGGTTCAGGGTTTTGTTTTGGTTTTTGACTGTTTTTGTTTCAGGGTCTCACTGTGTAGTCTAGGCTGTCCCTGAACTCACTATGTAGCCCAGGTTGGCCTGGAACTCACAGCAATCCTCCTGCCTCAGCCTCCTGAGTGCTGGGATTACAGGCATGTGCTACCATGCCTAGTATAAATACATGTAAAATAATTCTTTATGGACTATTTGGAACTTACCATTTAGGGGAGCCTTAAACTGAACACTGAGTTTAGTATCTGCCAGGGCAGCTATCAGGGAACTGCTCTGACTATGGAAAATTATGAAGGTCTTTCTCATGTTAATCAGAAAATCTTTTTGTCTTATTGCCTACTTGTTTCTCCTTTGGAGTCTCACCCAAAAGTTACAGACTTGAAATAATAATGTTGCCTTTCTTTGCTTTTTATCTCTTTCTCCTGACCCAAAGTGTGTACTATTAATACCAGCATTTTAATCCATCATCCTGTTTATTTCAGGGTGGCTTACACAACTGACAGTTTGTGTGACTTCTAGAAAGATAATTTCTGTTTGTATGTTCACTTAAACTTATGGCAAATACTTATTGATCCATCAAAATTCATGTGCTGTAGAAAGACTTTCCCACTTTATTCTCACTCCACGTCAGATTTTTCATAATGCTCTCTTTATGCCATTTCTGCCTCTTACATATACTTTCTTTTCATTGTGCCCTTTTACTGTACTGATTTATTTGTCTGCCTTATTGAACTTCAGTTCCTTAAGGACCTAGACCAGTGAAAGAGAAACTTTCAGAGACCTAGTGCCCAAACTACAACCCAAAATTACTTATTTATCACAAAGTGCCAACACTGCAATTAAACCTAAATACTGAGGTTTTAGTTTAGAAAAAATAACTGCTATCTAATGCTTGGCTGTTGGGACAACTTGGCTCACCTGCAGACAGAGATGCCATAGGTTTGCCACCACTGACCTAGATTGTCTCATTATTTTCTTTATTTCCAGTGCCTGGATAGTGTCCATCAGTGAATGCCTGGCATATATTAATTATGTAATAAATGCTTGGTGAGCAGTGTGGGCAAGAGTTGAGGAGTGGGAAACAAGGGTGAAAAAGAAATGAATTTCTAGTCTTTGGGGCAGGTGACAGTTATCAGCATGTAATTCTAACACAGTAAGATTCACACATAGTGATGAGACAGCTAGATGCAGAATTAGACCCCAACTTCACACCATACACAAAGTTTAACTCAGACATCTAAGTGAATCAGACATCTAAGTGTATAGTTAGAACTATAAAGCCCATAGAAGAAAACATTTGGGGAAGCTTGGGTACATAATAGTTCATCTCTTATAGCATTTATCATGCTATCATATAGTGGACCTCAACATGCAATATGGGTGCTATGGAATATGATTTAGTTGTAACATAATGTAATAAGACAAAAATGTATCCTGGAAGTCTCTTAAATCACTGGGATTTGGGCCTTCAGAAACTCAAATGTAATGGATGAAAGGAGGAACTACATTTAATTTTGACTCCCTATATAAAAATACAGTGTGCTGTGCTGTGCATTTTTGTAAATACTCAATATTTGTTTCATGGCTGATTTAGGTTTCTTGAGGAGAAGTTCAGGTCTGATGAAGAAAATTTTCATGCTTGCTTCAGCAGCACATATACTAATGAAGAAAATTTTATTTGTAAAGATTTAATAAGAGAAAGGTGAAATATCCCTCTGTCTCTGTAGTATGGGCAAATCGGCCATTGGCCTTGGCTCATTTAGACAGTGTCTGTTTTGGAAACAAAAGCTTTAACCAGATGGCCTCCTCCTTTCTAGGTACAGTGTATTCTTAGAATGTGTTTTATTAATAAATTAACTCATTTTCTATTGTAGCTGCCCAAGGGAATTGTCTTTCTTGGTGAGTGGCTTAGAATGTGCAAAAGAGCTTGTCATCTTTTTCCTAAACTAGTATATGGACTAATTTTGACTATTTCTCTCTCATTCTTTTTTAGAAAGCTAAACTGCAAGGTGCAGAGGAGTCAGAGCTGCAGTGACACAGCTCAGGACAGAGTGAAGAGCAGACTCAGAGCAGTTCCAACCAAAAAAGCCAAGGTACATCTCAGCCACAGGCTCTCTAGTGCTACCTTATAGCTTCCTCTGCACATGGCCATGGGAGAGACTGTTCTAGATGATAAAGTAGGATGGGTCCCAGCCATACCATATTAGTTATGTCAGAGGATTCTACACAAGATGTGAAGGAAGGCTGAAATCAGTACTCAGATGGGTGCTATGAGGGACATTAGAGAAACCCCTTTAACAGCTCTAGCCAGGTGTGGTGGTAGATGCCTTTAATCCCAGCACTCTGTGACACTGAGGCAGGAGGATCACAAGTTGAAGCCCAGGCTGGGCAATTTGAGAAGACCCTGTCTCAGAAGAAAGGTGGGGTTCTGAAGATGTGGGTTAGTGCAAAGACCCTGGGTTCAATCCCTAGTACTATAAAAAGAAAAAGCTAACACCTCTGACTGAGCTGGCTTTACTTTCACATTTTAAAGCTATTGTAGGAGTTCCTGCTGGGTGGTGTGCTTTAATTTAAGGATTTCCCCATTTCTTAGGCTTGCATCACCCTTTTTTCCTTTTCTTGTCCTTCCCTTCTTCATCCCTCCACCATCTAAAGGATTTATGTAGAAAAAATACATGTATGTATGTATAATCTTTTTAATCTCCTGCAGGTCACTACTATGACTCCAGCCTCCAACCCCATCATTGGTGTCCTTTTGTCCACTCAGAACAACCGCTGTCTCTCGGCCCCTGACTTGACCATCGAAAAGCGTCTGCCCTTCAGCTCCTTCTCCTCTTTGGCTTCCCTGCATAAGCCAGAGCGCTCCATCAGCCCAGAGAGCAATGACAGCATCTCCGAAGAACTAAACCATTTCAAGCCCATTGTCTGCTCACCGTGTACTCCTCCCAAGAGACTCCCTGATGGCCGTGTACTAAGTCCCCTCATCATCAAGTCAACGCCTCGCAACTTAAACAGAAGCCTGCAGAAGCAGACTTCTTATGAGGCCAGCCCACGGATCCTCAAAAAGTGGGAACAGATCTTTCAGGAGCGACAGATCAAAAAGACCCTTTCAAAAGCCACTCTCACCTCCCTGGCCCCTGAAGCAGGGGAAGACTTCCTAAGTTCTGAAGTTATCCATTCTAGCAAGGAGAAGCCACTTCTGGCTTTAAATACAAGACTGTCCAGTGGGCATATGCTTTCTGAGTGCACTGTTCCTGAGTATTTCCCCTCTGTTAGCCAAACACAGGCAGAGCATGGCAAGGATAGTAAAAAGAGCACTGAGATCCCATTGGAAACCTGTTCCTCAGAACTCAAAGAGGGAATCAGAGGGACTTCTTTGGAGGGGGAGCAGTTTGAGGGGGCAGGGTCAACCCCAGATACTAAGTTAGACAAAACCTGTATAAGCACAGCCGTGAAAATACCAGCGGTTAATTCAGTGGTACCCAAAAGCAATGTTTTTGGTGGGGTCCTCAAAACAAAAAAACAGCTGAAGACATTAAATCATTTTGATCTGGCTAATGGTGTTATGGTAGACAGCCTACGGGAGGAACCACTTCCTTCTTTGCGTCGGGGTCAGAAAAGACGTTGTAAGACCAAGCACCTGGAGCAAAACGGCTCTCTTAAGAAACTGCGACAAACCAGCAGTGAGGTGGGGCTGGCCCCAGCAGACCCAGTACTGCGAGAGATGGAGCAGAAACTGCAGCAAGAGGAAGAAGACCGGCAGTTGGCTCTGCAGTTGCAGCGCATGTTTGACAATGAGAGGCGGACAGTGAGTCGCCGAAAAGGAAGTGTTGATCAGTATCTCTTACGGTCCAGCAGCATGGCTGGGGCCAAGTAGCACCTAGTGAACAGTGTTACCTATTTTTAAGAGGTCTTTGACATTGATCATTTATCTGAAGAGTTGAGTGTTCTCATTTGGGGTTTCTTTTAATGCAAAGTACTGTCTAATATGGTTTTGAGAGGTTTCAGGCCCTTGGTAGTCAAAATCCAAGGCAACTGCATCTCTGTTCTTTGTGACCCAAGCCAGAAGCACTCCTCACCCCCTGAGTAACCCCTCTCTGAGTGCTTCTGGGCCACATCTGGCAGTACCCACTTGGAGTGAGATTTGGAATGGCCTCATTCAGAAGCATAATGATCAGAGTTAGAAATGGTAAAGGAAAGAGGGGATACCTTCTCAAACTGATGACCTCCTGGCTTCTTTCAACAGGGTGTTGTTTTAAATCAACCTTGCAGATAAAAATTAATTCCATCTTTTTCAAAGAAGTGGAGCAATCTAGTACTTTGGAAGATCCAAAATGTTAGATTATGTTCCTCTTTTCCTTCTCCTTACCACAAATAACAATACCTACTTAAATTGGTTGAGTATATGCGTCTATGAAAGTTAATTTACATTCTCTGTTTAAAAAATAACATACGATTAATGCTGTATAGTTGGCAGGGCACATTCACAGACATTGTTTAATTTGGTCTCCCTAAGAGACCTAACATGTAAGTGGTATTAGCCCCATTTTTAGATGATGAAACTGCAGTGCAGATGTTCAGGTTCTCTCTACTAAGTGACATAGCCTAGACGGACTGCTGGGTCTCCTGACAACAAATCCCATGGATTTTCTACACTAACCCAAATGGACTGCAACCCAAGGGCATGACGGGTACCTAGGGAGAGCTGGCCAGGCTTGAACACCGGTAGTGCAAAACCTACATGAAAGTAGTTAAGACTGATGGACATATAAACATATACTGTGCAGTTCTGCCCTCTCCCCCAAGCTTACAGTTTTCTGTTTTCCTAGGGGTTCCAGCCTATGAGACAAACCACAATGGGGCTTCATTATTACTTTCCACATAGGTAATAATTATCTGCAATGTTGATCTAAAATCCTAAAAAACTGCCCCGAAGTCAGGCAAAGAGCAATGCTGAAACTCCATACTATGGAAACGAGGTATCTAGCTGGATGCAGCTGGTAAATTCAGTCCCATGGACCTTTGGGGTTTATTTTTCTTAGCAGCTGACACCATGTGTCTTTTGCATCCCTGGTGGTGCTTGGTGCTTCTGCCCATCTGGGCTCATTGAAAATAGGGATTAAGATAGGATTTTAGGGAATATCAGATGGGCTGGCATTCCCTGTGTTTATGTATGAATTGTTACTATACTTATGTGAGTGGCATTTTAACAAACCTTACAGAATTTATCTATCCCAATGTATGCTGTCCTAGAGTAGCCCCAGCAGGATACTACATAGTTTTTCCAATGATACTGCCTTTGGTGAAAATATTTCTGAAACTGTCTTCAAAGTGTAGAAACATCATACAGACTCACTTCTCAAGTGTTAGAACTGGAAGAGAGGACCTTTAATGGTTGTGTCTTTCACCTTCCTTCTTTTACTAAGGCAGAGGCTGAAATCCAGAACAGACTCACTGATCAAGGGAGCACCTATAGCACCTTCTCAGAGCAGATCTTCAATCTTTTAGAGTTACAAGAGAGAAATTTAAGTTTAAAAATAGAAGCTATTTGAAGCCTCTGGAAAAGAAGGTGGGTTTATTAAGGTTTGGAGTCATAAAGGAGGTGCCTGTAAAGTGCTCAGAGCCGTTTTCTTGTGCAGCTCATAGTTCCCAAACAGCTCCCAAAGAGAAATTCCAGAGATGCCTGAAGCATTGTGGACATCACTGAGACACGTGGGTCTTTCCAGTGACTACTTTGGTGGGAAACATCGCTCACCTGAATGTATGTATTCTGTGTGTGTGTGCGTATGGACACACATACGTGCAGGTGTATTTATAAAAGCATACATCAATCTCATTACTTTATATTCACACCACTTCATTTCTAGGTCCTACAAAACTAACTGCCTCCAAAAGCTGCTAGAGGGCAGTTAGTGCCCAAAATAGGAGAGCCGGCACTGATCAGCAAAGGACAGGAAGGGTGACCTTAATAAATGCCCATGGAGAAAACATAACCATTACTGCCATTTCAGGTGTTTCTTTTTTGATCTTAGTAAATATTATTGGTGGCTTGTCTTGTTGGCAGTAGCAAAAACACTTATTTTTACCTCTTGCCATCTTTTTTTCCTGTAGCTCCAATAATTTGAAAAACATTTTCAGTTGGAACTGATTTTTTGTTTTGATAAAAAGATAAATATTTTAATAGATGAAAGAAATACTTCCCCATTAATACTTTCATTTTAAGAACCTGCATAGCAGTAGCAACAAGTTTAGACTTGATATGTAGGATAAAAATCTATTTCTTGTTAAGTCAACATTTTAAACACTAGGCCCAGCTTACTGACTGTGCTCCACATACCTACTTGGATGCTGAGGATGGTAGAGACAGTTATTTTCCACACTTCCTGCTGAGGCATACTCCTTCAAATACAGGTGGAGCTGTTTAGGTTAAGGAGGAAAGAGACTTAATTTATATCTGCTCAGCTTTGGAGGAGGGGGAAAAAACCACCAAGGTATTGTCTGTATTTTAAGATGCTTTGCATACTTAAACTAAAAAATGCTTTTTCCCTCTGATGAAAAATTTCCATTTTGTTTCATTGTCAAGTTGATCGCAAGAGTTGATGATACGGATTCTTTGGGGGGAGGTAGATGGGAGGAAAAGACAAGAAAAACCAAATGATGGGAAGCTCTGGCAAGCTAGAATAAAAGGTAGAGTGTTTCACATATCTGACATTTTAAAATCACTGAAGGTCAGTTCATTATACAGACATCCCATGTCCTACTAGCTCTTCTTTTGTATATGTGGTTTTTTCTTATTTTAATAAAGTCATGAGATGGGAGGATGGGGGTCATTCTGGTGGGAAACCCAAGAAAGGAGGCACCTCAGCAGGGGGTTCTTAGCCCTTTTCCACACAGAAGGAAAGCTACTTTGGGAACATGTTCCATGACCCATTGTTTCTGTCTGTTAGAAGTCATCTGGCCCTGTTGGGTTGGCAGCTATTCAGAGAGGGTTATGCACCCAGCCCCCTGACCCCTGTAATTGCCTCTTTTTAAATTTTTTTTTTTGGTTTTTCCTCGGTACTGGGAATCAAACTCATGACCTTGCGCTTGCCAGGCCGCCCTCTGCCTCTTTTTTTAAAAAAAAGATTAAAACTTTCTTGGCTAAGACTTGCCAGGGAAAACTTTTCTAAGTGGCTTCATTTAGGAAAAAAAATTCCCTGGAAGAACTACTGGTCATAAAAAATGCCTTTTCTTTTTTTTTCTTCATTTTTCCATCCAAAAATGGCCCTAAGAGATTAAAACACTTAAATAATTGCTGTCTAGTTACCAACTGACAAACCAACCAAAACAGGGCTGCCACCACCATCTGGTGCAGCTGATGACCAGAGGTTGTGTTTCTTACCCTTTCATTTCCTTTGACAGATTACTTCTTCAGCTCTTAAACCTTTGCCAGCCCAGTACTGGGTTGTGGAGATGCAAAGATGGAAAGATGGTCCCTGGTCTCCAGGAACTCAGTGACTAATGGAATATATTTGAATGTGTGTGTAGCTGGAGAGTGTGTTAATGGTCTTAAGAAAGGCCATTTCTTTTATAACAGTGCTCTTCCGTGGTCTTGTCTAAGATGTTCTGTACCTAGCATGCTGCCTTGAACATTTTACAGAGACCCATCAGTATTTATGAAATTGGTCATAACATTGCTTTCCATTCCCTAAGTAATTTTAGCAGGGGAGAGTGAATCTTCTCCTGTAGTGATTATGAGACAATATAACCTTTCTTCAGGGGCAGCTTTTAGTTTAAGCACCAAGAAATGAGGCAGGTGTAGATTGCTGACATGGTCAGAGGTAGCCTACCCCTCATTTTAGTAACCACCTAATCTCTTCCCCATCCTGACCTCTCATTAGAGCTGGCAGCAACTTGGGGTTTCTTTTCTTTTTTACTGCTGGCTTTTTATTGAAGGGGAGGCAGGAGGAAGAAAAAAATAGAGGCTATATTATAATCATAGTATATTCTAGCTAGAATAGGCATGGAAAGCATCAAGCTTCCTCTACCCCACACCCCCTTTGTTTAACAAATGAGGATCCAGTGCCCTGTGTACTATTTTATGTGTAGTGTTTTAGGGCCTGAATAAATAATCCTTAAAGTTATGTATAAAATATGATTTGCAAGTAAAGGGGACACCCAAATGTAGGAACTTTCAAAAATAGCTCACTCTTATGATTTGAGTTAAAATGTACCCAAATCCCCTGAATACACACTCAGGTAGAGAAAAGCCCTCCAGTGTGAGTAATACAAATGTATAATCTTGAAAAGTGGCATATTTTAGTTGCAATGATTGCCATTTTAATTACCAATAGTTAAAAGGTAGCTAGGCATTGATTTTTTTTTTAATTGGAAACTTCTTTGGGTCTTAAATCCTTAGCCTTTCCCTCATCAACTCATAGAGTGGTCTTTTGGCTTGGTCATTAGGTCAAACACGGCTGATTATGAATTTTTGGGATTCACAAGAAAGCAGGTCTGTGGGGAGGTGGGATGCAGATTCTTGGGAATGAGGCTGCTGAATAGATTTAAGGTGGCCCAGAAATGCATCTTTACACATGATGGTCATGCACTATAGCTTTCTAAAGATTTGTTCTGTAGATACTTAGAGATGTGCAGAGCTCACCACTTTAGAGATTAATCAGATTAGATGAAAAAGTGCTAAAACTGAATATGCAAATTGTTCTATGTATTAATATTTTTTCTAAGAAAAATACTCTCTTCCTTGTGAGTACATGCTTCCTTAATGTCTTGCCAAGAAGATGGCAACTTTTAATTATGTGAGAGGCAACCTCAAACTCTGAGCAGACTCCCTCCCTCCCTGTTTCTGTTTTAAGAAAGAAATGGACACAGCCAAGGCTAAGCAAGTCTTGTTCCTCTTCCTTTCATTTCATTTAGTAAGAGGTACAGACAATGTACACTTGAATTATAATGCCCTTAAGAGCTCAAGGGTAGCTTTTGGCCCTGGTTCCAGGTTAAGGTGGCAGCAGTCAGCTTCTCCCTGGTTGACACTGCCTCCCCTCCACGCTGTGCGCCCGTGGGAGCAGGGCTCTCACTCTCAGCCAAGTTTGTATCAGACAGGACATCATTGATCCTGAGCCCCACAGCACTTAAGTCCCAATAAGAGAACAGGTACTATGCAAGGGGAAAAATGATTATTTTGAATGCCAACTAATAGATTGTTTTATGTGCTGTTTACTCAGTTCTTTGTACAATACAGTTGTCCAAAAGACCTTTCCCCCTTCTGCCTAGAAATAGAATATGGGTTTTCTGTTGGTTTCATTTAACCTGCTGCAGCTCCCTGGTGGTCTCGTGGTTACAACGTACACAACCTGCTGTCTACATTAGAATTGGAGAAGAGGCCTGCATCCTTGAGGACTGCCACTTCAGGCTGCCACTTCTCCAACTCACCATAAAGATCATTTGACAAAGACTTGGAAAAGGCCATGCCCTATCAGGGATGCTTCCACCACAATGAAATGGTATGGAATCAAGTGGGACAGTTGTGTTGTTTATTTACAGTACCAAAGTGCATTCTTCAACGCGTATTTGCCTGCTTGAGGCACGGCCCAAGTTGAGAATACAGTAAAGCAAATTCATGAAAGTAAATTTGTTTCTAATCAAATTCTTGTCTCTGGAGAGCAATCTCAGACAAACATGGGATAAGACTGTGTTGTTTGACTTTTGGTGCTATCCTTGTGCTGGATAACACTTTAAAATGTCCTGTTTTAGCCTTGAGAATGGTGGGAGAGATTAGGAAGTGGGAGAGGATTTCGAATGTACACTTCACAATTACACTGTTCAATGTAAGTTATCTGCAGTTTGCTGGCATTCTCACATTCAGCCGTTCATCTTCCTAATGAAGGCACCAAAAAAGACTAATGTATAGGATGACACTGTCCTTGCACGTTAGGGCTGTACTTAGAAATCTGATTTTTTAACAAAGTATTCTTTTTTGGAACCATCATTTAGGAATTCAAAATACTCAGCATCAGTTTCTCATCTAACAGAAATACATGTATCTTTTTCCATCTAACCTTGGGAAATCTAATGTTTTTTCTGTTCCACCCTCTACAGTTAGCTTTGACAGTGTGTTCAGTTGCTTTCTGGGACAAACACTCCTCCTCCCCACCCTGCTGCCTGGGCTGGGACTGGCAGGGATAGAGACCACACTCTCTCTTCTCTGTACCCGCTTGTAAGGGCGAAAGGCATCTTAAGGCAGCAGGGATGTGAGGCATGAGCTGTATCCACGCCACATGTGACTCCTAGGGTTCTCACTGGCATCTTGGATGCATAACTAGAAAAACAGTTCAGTTTGGAAAGAGTCAAGGACACCTGAGCTGCAGCTGAAAGGATGAGTAAGAAACAGCTGCCATGTTGTTAGGTCTTCCTAGAGAAGGAGCAGTCACTGAGTGCTGGCTTCCTTCCTGGGAGTTCTTTACGGATAACATTTGGTTACATGTGAAGGAAAGGGAGGCAAAAATCTACCATTCTGCAGCCTCCATGATAAGAAAGCTAATCAGATCAGAAATTCCAAATGAGTAGCAGAATCTCAGTCTAGGAGAAGCAACCGATTTATTTATCCTTAACTGAGAAAGTAGTGTTTGGCCCAAGTGTCCCCTTTCAGGATACTCGCATGTTGATGTAGGGTTGGCTTGGGTAGGCAGAGAGCAGATATACTTTTGGCTGAAAAAGTAGAACTGGCACCACTGAGGCAAGCAGGCAGTATAGCTCAAAGGCTTGAACTGTCCAAAAGCTTTCCCAAAAAAGGAAAGGACAGCCTTTGGAGGGAACAAGCTCCCAGTTGCTAGATGTGCACACACAGTATCTCAACTACTAGGCAAGTTGCCTTTCTTGAGATGGATGGGATAGACATGCCCAGGAGCCCTGGAGGCCCGAGAGCCTATGGTTTGATAGAACTTATGGCTGAAAGCACAGTGCAGGTAGCTATCAGAACTGGAAACTGGTGAGCATGATTGTGTGGAAGGGTGGTTTAGAGCCCCAGGAAATTAAAGCTGGTCAGCAACATTCCCCTGCCTATGAGCGCTGTTGTGGGTCATATATATTACCTGCATCTGTTAAGGTGCCTGTGTCAATGAGTAAGACATACCTTTTGTCACCTGTGTGACCTGTGTAGCACACTGTTACAATGAACATGTGTGTGTATGTGTGTGTGTGTGTGTGTGTGTGTGTGTGTGTAGGTGACCACCACTGAGTACAAACATTGAACTGGCCACTTGTGAGGCTGCACTTGAGTACAATAGCATGTGAATATGTAGTTGCAGTTTAGGCTATGGGAATTTCCCCCTAGGATCCTTAATTTTTGTGCCACTGCTTCCCAGACCTTGGGAACTGCAGCCTGCTCTAAAGGTCTGAATTGTAGGCATCCTCAGGAGAGGACCAAGGGTTGCCCACATGACTAGGTCATACCTAGAATCGTCCCTGGAATCCAGCATCCTGGAATCCAGCCCCAGGCCTTCTCTAGACAGGTGTTGCTGCCTACTAAGCCCCATCAAGCATAGGGCAATCGCACAGCCTACCTTGGCAGAACTGCTTACTTAGGAAGCCCCAGTGACTCTGCACAGCCCCAGGGTGTGTTTTGGAGCCACAGCCCATTGTGTTTGCTTCTGTACCTTCAGGTGTGTCTTGGACTACAAGACCCTGGGAATTGCCAAATAAACCCTCCCTGCTTGTCCCACCTTTGTGACCATGCCTGTCTGATAAGGGAACAATCTTCTTTTCCTCATTACCATAGAAAAAGGTGCCCAACAGAAAAAGCACATTTCAGGGGCCTTGATTTTGCCCCCTCATTGTACTGCCTGTGGGCAAAATCATTAGCTTCTGTGCTGCTACTCTGTTCCCATCACCCCTATTTTCTGACCTAACAGCTGTCGTATGCATGACTCAAGTGAGTTTCCCACAGGACCCTTGGGATGAATGCATCAGCAAGGCCTTCTCTCCAGTGTGACAGTCGCTGTGTTCCTTGCCCGGCTTTCAAGGAAGGATGCCTGGCGCCTGTTCAGCGGCTCTACGTACCTGCTCTTTATTGCTGCTGGGCCAGTGGTGAGGTCCTCTGGAACTCCCCACTCTGTGACCAGCGAGCAAGGTCAGGGCAAGTTTGGAGGCCCGTGCCAGGCCCCACCTGGCCAGAGGCAAGTTCAAGGGTGCAGAGGCCTTGGGGAGGATGGGGACAGACAGCAGACGCTACCCACGTGCAGCCCTAGGCTTTTGAGTCACTGGATGTGGGCTCCTGGCAGAACTCGTCCATGAACTCGAGGAAGCGGCCAAACTTGGGTTGGTCCTCGCTGGGCGCCGGCAGAGGTTGGGACGCTGGGCTGGCACCAAACACAGTCCGCAGAGAGCCATGCACCAGCCGCCGATAGCGGGCCTGGAATTCCTTGAGCAGCCGCTTGGCCTCCAGGTACTGCTTATGGTTCACTAGCCGTGGCTCCGCTTGCCGCAGCACGGAGCCTGCAGGGAGAGAAGCGGAGGTTCCCACCCAGGGAAGAGGTGGAAAGCGGGGTGGGGTGGGAGGAGGTGCTGAAAGGGACCGGCTTGAGGCAGTGGGAAGTCAGTAGACTCCCTTTCGGACGGTACCTCCAGCCTGGTGTAAGCCTCTAACAAGCTGTGTGACTTTAGGCAACTCCCTCCCTCAAGGGACTGTTTCTGCATCTTCACCCACAACTGAGGGGCAGATGTTCTCAGGGCCCTTCCTACTCACAAGCCCTTTCTCTGCCTCACACCGGGAGGTAAGTGAACTTGCTTGACCCCTGGGCAGAGCCATACCTAGTGGAGCCTCTGTAATGTTCCGGGGGTCCCGCATGCGAATGAGGATATCATCCAGCAGCTGGGCTCGAGTTTTCCGTGGGGGTGGAACAGGGATCCTAGGAGCCTAGCAGAAGGTAAGGAAGGAGGGTGCCTACCGCATACAGGAAGGAGGGTGCCCACCGTGGGGGGCCACTTGGGAGCACCGAGAAACATGGACCTCAGAGGGTCCTAAGGTGACAGCCACATCTGTCTGTGGGGGTCCTCAGGGATCATTCTCAGCAGGCCAGATACTCACCTGCTTCTCCTTGGGGACAAAGCGTTTCTGAATTGAGTCCAGCTTGGCCTTGGAGGAGCGGTAGATGAGTGGGTGCTTGAGCATCTGCTGCAGGGCCTGTGCATTCTTCTGGATGCCTGGGGCAGGAAGGTAAGATGAGAACCCCTCCCCCAACTTCTGCAGCCTCACAGCAGCCCTGGGCAAAAGGATTTGAGAGTCCTCAAGAAGAAAATATGGCTCCCAGATTTCCCTAATCTTGTTACAGTGCCCCAAATTCCATCATTCGTCAGGTGAATACATCCCATAAGGCACAGATCCAATGGCAACAGCATTGGTGAACACTGCCCTAAGTGACCCCATTAACCTTGGGGTTACACTGCAAGGAAGCTACGAGAGACCAGCTGATGGCCAGTTCCTTTGGAAGTGTAACTGCTCTTAACACATTAGATTGAAATAAGGGGCTCAGAGAGGGAGCCACTCCTTTGCCTCAACCCAAATGGGAATTGGTGTTTAATAGGGCTGGGAAGAACTCTGGAATCTGTCCAGTGTGAGGTTTGTTCATCACTCTTTTCCCGAGGAAAGGCTGTTCTAACCACAGTAGCTGGGCCAGACCAGCTGGAATCTCTGAACAAGCTGGGAAAGGCTAAGGGAAGGACAGGGATCCCAGCATGGCTAAATTCAAACAGGCCACCCTAAGAGGTACTCTGACATTTGGACAGAGGATCACACACCAGCTGGAAAAGGCAGGCTCAACAACAGCAGGCTAGGCTGTGAGCTGCTTGGGGCTGCAGAGATGGCCCCTGATCCTCATATACCTTTAGGCTCAATGAAGGCTGGATCAGGTTTGGTTGTCAGCAGCTCCTCATATCCATGGTACTTGCTGGGGATAGAGGAAGAGGGGAGCTTCTTCGGAGTCTTCTTCACCTTGGAAGGGGCCACTGCCGGTCTCCTCTGGCTTTCCTCCTTCACCTCTAAATCACCCACACGAGTGATGGAGGAAGGCAGCTCACTCACCTATGCCAGGAAGGAAACACATTCACTCATCCCCGCTGACCTCTGACCACTGGCTCTGTGCGGGTCTCCATGCTGGAGCACCTATTTACGGCAAGACTACGACTGGGACTGAGGAGGCAGACAGAAGACAGGTAAAACCAAACACTTGGGCAAATGCTATTAACTGAAGGAAGCACCGTGGTTCCCGGTGATCCCAGAGGAAGCCCCAACCCAGCCAGCTAGCACCCCAAAAGGAGTGATTCCTTAGCCTGACCTCAGTCTTAAAGAGCCACAGAACTGTCCCCAGATGGTGGGTGGGAAGAGTGGTAGACTGCAAGAGATGAGAAAGGATGGCTGTGGTGGGCAAGGAGCAACATCACAAAGGTGCTATCACGGTGTGCCGGGGAGTCTAAAGAGTGGCTGGTACAGCCGGAGAGCGATGTGAAGTGACAGACGAGAATGATGTGCAAGGCACAGGTTCATCAGGACCTTTAAAGTCAAGCTGAGGGTGTTTGTTTTGTATTTTCTTTATCCTCATTCTGATGGCAAGCTATGGAGGATTTTAGTCTACCCAAATGGTTTTATAAGAAACATGAACTGCCCAGGCACGGTGGTGAATGACTATAATCCCACTAGTCCGGGAGGCTGAAGCAGGAGCATCACTAGTTCCAGCCCAGCCTGAGCAACTCAGTAACTCAGCAAGACCCTGTCTCAAAAAGTAAAAGGCCTTGGATATAGCTCAGGGCAACAGGCCTGGGTTCAAGCCCCAGTATCACCAAAGGAAGAAAGAAAGGAAGGAAGGAAGGAAGGAAGGAAGGAAGGAAGGAAGGAAAGAAAGAAGAAAAGGAAGGAAGGAAGGAAAGGAAGGAGGAAAAAAAAAAGGAAGGAAAAGGAAATTTCATAGTGTATGAATTTGTGTATCCTATGTGGATGAAAGAAAGAGATGGACAGAGAATTAGGTAAGAATGGGCTGATGGATGTACATATTAAAAAGATCTGGCTATGGCCAAATTGGAGAGGCAAGATTAGGAATAGATGAATGATATAACCATAAAGTTTAAGGGGACCCTGCCAGCTCTTCCAGCTTTCTACAGGTTGAAGATCCCTTATCTGAAATGCCTGCAGCCAGAAGTGTTTCAAATTTTGGAACATTTTGCATATATATAATGAGGTATGTTGAGGATGAGACCCAGGTCTAAACACAAAATTCATTTGTATTTTATACATACATTATACACATAACCTTCTGGTAGTTTTATCCAATATTTTAAATGATTTCATGCATGAAACAGAGTTTCATGGTATGGAGTTTCCCACTTGTGCTCAAGTTGGCACTCCAAAAGTTTCATATTTTGGATTTCAGGTTTTCAGACTAGGAATGCTTACCCTGTGTTTCCCCTTCCCTGTCACTACCCTTCTGTTGCTGTGACAGTTAACTTTTCCAGTTCCTGTACCTCTTTAATTGCCTCCCTCTGCACCCTATTTCATGCTGTCCGATTTGCCTATATCTTCCCCTTGCTAACTTCTATTCAGCCTGCAAAGCTCAGCTCAGGTGACCCACTTCTAGGAGCCCTCTGGGGCTGGAGCAGAGGGATCCCTCTTTCCTCCAGGCCCCAGCCCCTGGCTGCATGCTTGTCCATCTTTCCCACTGGACTTTGAGTACCTCAGGGGAGGGCCTGCATCTGGGTCATCTAAATTCTCAGGATCCAGAGGCAGCATCAGAAGTGGGGTGATGTTCAGCAGGAAGCAGAGGCAGCAACAAACCCCTCCGAAAAACAGATCAGCACCACACTCCAATCAGACCCCAGATGTTGCCTGTGCCTCAGGACCGTGACTCGTGCCCATGTATCCCCACCGGTAGCCTCAGATCCGTAGCTCACCCGAAGGGTCTCACAAGCTTTGCCAAGGCTGCTGCCCTCCGTTTGCAGCCTGTCCCATGTGTGGCCCAGCTGCTCACAGCAGTCCCCCTAGCTAAGGGCTTGGCAGGAACCTGTGGACACTGCAAAGAGTGGGCAGGGCAGCTGTTCAAGCGCAGGCACCTGGGTCAGGAAGACAGACTCTGTGCTCTTGGCGTCCTCCTCTGACCGGTGCTCTGGGCTGAGGTGGCCATCTGCATTGCCGGGGCGGGATGTGATCTCTTCACTGTGCACAGTGGAGTCAGAGCTGATAGGAGGCAGCGGCACAAAGCTCCTTTGGGACAGGTTAAGGCCTTCTGGGCCCTCGATGAGTGGGTGTGTCTCCAGAGAAGTGCTTCCGGCCGGGGGCAGCTCTTCAGCCAGCTCGGCCTCTTCTAACAGATCCCAGGAGGGAGACTGGATTGCGGTCACAGGTGGGTGATGGAGCAACATAGGCCGCTTCAGCACCTTGGGGACTTGTGTTTTCACCTGTCATGGGAGAAAGGCTGGGTTAGATTTGCTCCCTAATCAGGAGTCTCTCACCTTGGGCTTCACCAGCCTCAGGCTACCATGTGTGGAGTGGGCAGAGCACTGGATGAGGACTGGAAGAGCTGGCAGGGTCCCCTTAAACTTTATTGTTATATCATTCATCTATTTCTAACACACTCACTGGGCATCTATCATGTGTCCTGTGCATAGCACATTTCATTTATTTGTTTATTTATATCTCAAAACGAGCCAGGGAATAAACATCTTCACTTGTAGATGAAGGAACTGGGACTCAGAGAAGTGCAAAGACTTCTCCAAGGTCAGAGAGTGCCTCAGTGGCAAAGCTTAGATTCTCTGACTCTAGCCGTGGGCCTCGGACTCATAACTGTGCCCCTAGTGACCTCACTGTTCAGATCAAGGTTTACCACAGCAGCCCCGACTTTCCCCCAAGAAGGGAGGATCTGGGGATGGTTCTGCGTTTTCTGGAAGATGGCAGCTTTCAGGATGCTAGTCTGTGCACCAGATTTCTTAAACCCTGGGAGGGGGCGCTCTTTCTCTCTCTCTCCCTTGCCTGCCTAGCGCCTTCCCAAGGAAAGAAATGATCAGAGGCTGACAGTCCTGGGGCTGCTCCGCTGGTGGGTGTATTACCCCGCACCAAGAGCAGGGGTTCCGCCTTCCTTGTGTTCTCACAAGCAAAGGGCTCGCGCAAGCTCCTGGTCATGGGCCTGCCCCAGCGGGCTCTCCGTTTCCCCGGTCCTGCCTGTGTCTAGGTATGAGGGGAGGGCTTGCTCTCCATGTCCATGCCCGGCTCTGCATCTGCAGCCCCATCTGTCAGCACACGGGACAGACAGGCACCCACAGGCTCGCTTTAAGCCTGAGCTGTGTTCTCCAGTCCATCCTGGCCACTCTGTAGAGCGCGAGAGGATTCTGTACTAACATTCAGCGAGGAGACGGGCAGGGAAGTAGGAGATACTCAGAGGAGGCAACAGAGAGGGATGATGACGGAAACCCTTGGAATTTCACTTGACCTGCCGTTCTTATCCTCTTGAGGGCTACAGACAAGGGCTTGGTTGGACAGAGACAGGCTGTAGAGTGCTAACTGTATTTAGTTGTAACTAAATTAGCATACAACTTGTATTTTAAAAGGTAACTAGCTAGGAAATCAACAATGTCAGATCTAACCTGTGGCTGCTGAAAGACCAAAATTCAAGAGGAAGGAGCATTTTATAGAAATGTTTTAAATTCTTCAGATGAAAGAGGGATGTGGCTTGTTTCATAGCACCCTGAAAAGCAAATCTAGGAGGACTGGCTGGAGTCACAGAGGATGCAGCCTGCTCCCAGCAGCAGGATGCTCTCAGTGATGTGGTTCCAATAGGTCCTTCTGACCTTCCACTGTGGACTCAAGAGTAGGATGCACTTTCTTAAGATACAGACAGGAAATGCATTCTGGCCCTTGCATCGGCATAGTTTTAGGGATTCATTTATAATGTATTTACACATCCGCTGTTTCATCCAGTCCTTCTGCAGCTCTGAGAGGCTATCCCCAGCTCTTCTAACTTCAAGTCTGGTTTCTCCCCACTTCTTTTCTAGGCCTTAGTTTCTCTAGAATTCCAAGGTCACTGATCCAGGGACCTCCAAGGCTCCTCCCTACACTTTCTGGGACTCTGACTATCTTGTCCCTCCTGGCTTTACATGTATTTAACAAAGCAAGGAAAGGAGAAGGCAATACTGTGTGTAATCAAGAGGTCCCAGGTCTTGTAGGGGGAGAGCCGCTGGGCAACAGCGTTAGTCTGCACACATTAAAATAGACTCCACTTCCTCTGGGGCTGGGTCTCCTGCTTTGGAAAACTTACCTTCCGTGATTCTTTCTGAGGTATCAAAATACGATGCTTAACCTTTACTACTTTCTTTCGAATTAAGTGGATCCCCAGTCGCTCCTGCAGGAAGCTCTTTAGCAGTGGAGGAACCCCTGATACCATGATAGGAACATAAGATGATTATTAGCTACCATGTACTTTGAACTAGTAAGTACTGAATACTCTTCAAATCGCTTTACATGAGGGGCTGGGGATTTAGCTCAGTGGCACAGCGCCTGCCTGGCAAGCATGAGGTTATGAGTTTGATTCCCGGTAGCAGAAAAAAAAACAAAAAACGAAGAAAAACAGGAAATTGTTTTACATGTATTAAGGTAACATTTAATTTTCTTAACATGCCCTAACCCATTTGACAGGCAAGGAAACCAAGGCAGAGAGGTCAAGGAATCTGTCCAAAGAGTGTGGAGCAGGGATTAGCGTTTCACCATCACTGCATGCCCTGGACTCTGAAATCCCTCCAGCTGCTGCATGGTTGTCAGCAGGCTCCACTGTGGATGCTGCACCAGTGCATCCATGTGCTTGGAGGAAGGGGGCGCTGCAGCCAGGCCTGGCCCCACCCCGCACAGGAGGCAGGAAAGAAGACCACAACACACCAGCTTCACAACACCAAAAAGAGTTCTATGCAATCCTGGGCAAATCATGAACTTCCTTGAACTCCAGGTTACCCCAAATCCATGGGACAGTAATGCCCACCTCCCACAGTGCTGTCAGGAAGAGCTGGTCCAGTTACTCAGCAGTGTCTGCCATGTTCTCTATTTCCAGAGTATCACGAACCTCACCCACCCCAATACAGCAGAGCCCAGGGCCTGACATCCATAAGGGATGGACAAGGGTGCCAGCACTGCTTTGTGGGCACTGGGGTGGAGAAGGATTTTGAGTCCTTACCTCGTGTGTGAGCCACCAGAGGGTTGTTATGAAAGACCAGCTCACAAAGGCATGGAAAGAGAGCTACTGGCAGGAGCGCATCCTCCTTCACGATCTGGAACAAACACAGAACCATCAGGTCCACAGCAGCCCTCACTTCCCCCCAGGTGGGTCGGGTCTGCCTTGCACACCAGGATGCATGTGAGGAAGGGGACTGGGGGAGGGAAGAGATGGTGCTGTGGGAGGGGCTTGCTGTGGGCAATGCCTCATCCCTGCAGTGTCACCTGATCATGCCCAGAATGCCTTGCTCTTCTGTCTCAACATTCCACCATCTCTCTAACTTTCCTCCTTTCCCCACACTGGATATGTAGCTTATATCAAGCATGAGACATATTTGTGGCAAAATAAGAACAAACACAAACAGCACTTGTTCTGCAGAGTCTGAAAGGTTGACTAAGGCAACTTTATTTGTCTAACATTTCACCTTCCTCAACACAAACCTCTACATACCCATTGGTCTTTCAGCAGCACTCCTGTGGGCTGCTTTCCTGGTACCAGTTCTGGGCACTGAGCTGGGGAGGGGAGAAGGCAGGAGGGCAGGGCACCCACCCACAAAGGGATAAGCAGAGCCCATGAAAAGGACACCTCATGGCTGTCTGGGGCTGTGAAGTTGGCCTGTAAGTGACCTGTTGGCCATGCCAGCCTATAAAGCGAAGAAGTTACACTGTCCTTGCTGAACAGAGTGGTTGGAACACAGGACATTATCTTGGGGAGGGCATCTGTGGGCCCTGCAAACAATCTACACCTTTCATGTGTCCAGGGGTCTGAGACCCACTGCTCTATTCCTGGCCCCTCTGATCTGATGGCCCTGATGCTGTTCTGCTGCTAATAGATGCCCTAAAATCCGGGGCTGGCAGGAAGGGGAAGGGCACTTCAGTTGGCTTCCACTGGAGCCTCACTGGGAAGCACCAGATCTCCACTGGGCAATGACCTTATTCATTCTTATTCAACCAACAAATATTTAATGAATACCTTACCATGTGCCAAGCACTGTGTTGGGAATGAGCAAAAGTGATATGACACCTACCCTCAAAGACACTGGGTAAGGGGCTGGGAATTTAGCTCAGCGGCAAAAG